TTTTTTTTTTAATAAAAATGGTTGCCTAATAGTCACTGCGAATGAAAGCGAGGCTGTACTAAGTAAAAATAACTGTTTTCTTTTGCTTCTAGCAGAAATACCGTAGACTGAATAAGGTGCGTAGTATAGAGGAGATGTTGGGGCTGTTCTGGGAGGATGGGAGCTAGTTACTTTGGGGCAGGGTGCGGACGTGGGAGGGGGGGAATAAGAAGTCTTGATACCCTTCAGAAAATAAACTCAATTTTAAGATCAGCAAAGAGGGTATTCAATATGTTTATGTAGCTTATAACTGAGACGTTTCCTGATTGTTTATTTTTGTTTGTTTGCTTTCTAACATTACTTTTCCAGGGTGCCTGAATATTTTAGCTAGTTCGAACCAACTTTTTCTGGAATGGTACACTACTGCGATGTGGGAGGGCTTGTACGCTTGAATTACGAACAAACCTTGTCCGAGTTGCATGTATCTGGTAGCGTGTGGTTATTTTGTATTGAAGTATGGTGTGTAAAGTCCTCCTGGAAGGAATGTTGCAACTGTCTCATTGCTGCCGGACTTTGGATAGAATGTAACTCAGGTCGCTCAGCTCTGGTCACTACATGAGCTCTTGTCATTACAAAAGTATCTTGCCCAGAATGTACTTGAAAGCTATTAAGTTTCTAGATAAAATGTTTCACAGAGGAAGTTGATGTGAGGCCCCACGTTGTGGGTAAGCTTTCCCGTTGCTGGGAAAGGTCTGGGATGGGGCTGCCCGGGGGGCAGAGCAGCCTCACCGGGCAGGTTTAGCCGCAGGTGGGGTGCCCAGCATGTTGTGGGCTCTTGCTGCTGCTGTTGGTAGAGGCACCTTGTCCGCCTGAAAATACCACAACTCCAAAAAGGCCGGTTATTCAAAACCCCTGCCGTATGAAAGTTAAGTTTAAAATAAACTCAGAATAAAGGCAGGGCATCTCTGCAGCGGTGTTGTCAAAAGGTCTTGGGATTTCTGCGAAGATTAAGATTTTTACAGGAATCCCGTGGGGGTGCCAGTTGCCGTTTTTTCATCCTCTCTTATGAGAGAGGTCCAGTTAGGCTGCGCTGAGCCTCGGGGGTTTTAGGTCGGAGGCGGGAGCCGGCGGCTGGATTGTGGCCGGGAGAGGGGGTGAGCAGCGGGAGCCGGGCGCTCCCCGCGCCGTGCACGGCCCCTCGCTGCCCGCCC